CTCGAGGATTCGACCGGCGGAGAAAACGGACGCGGAAAAGTCCGCGGAACCGCATAGCCGTGGGTGCGCGCGATCATCCGGCGCGAGCGACTCTCGTAGCCCGTACGTCGCGTCGCAGTCGTGGCTTCGCGGCTCTCTCGAGAGGAGCAGGAACCGTGTTTCGCGTGTCCGCTCGACTTGGACGTTGTTCCAACGTTGGAACGACCAGAGACGAACTGGAACGGGTTGTCGGACGGTGCCGTGAACTGTGGTGGCCACGTTCGAGTAATACGTCGTCCACGGGTGGTTATCGGTGTCGGTGCTGCTAGAACGAAATCGTATCGACCTCGAAACTCGCTGCGACGAAGGTCGATTGGCTCGAACGCACGGTGATCGAGGAAGAGCGAATTCGCGAGACGCGAGGGTGAATCGATGGTGCACGCGAAATCGTGTCGCGATCAGTTCGTTGGGTGGTAGCACGCACGATGTCGCGGCGCGATGCGTCACGTGACTGAGGAGAAACCAGAGAACGAGGACGAATAGTGCGAACCGAGAGGAGAAGAACCTACGGAGTTTCGCGAGATCCGACCAGGCTGTCGTCGAGATCGTGGAAAACAAGACGGAGGTGGCCGCCGCGAGTCGATCTCTCGAGGACGACGAACGCTCGGGGTTAACAATGTCCTAGCGAAGGCAGGAGCTCGTCTAGGCCGATCCCCCTCGTCCTGTTCCGTTTCGTCCAGAAGAACCTTGAATCCCGTTTTCGCTCCCTGACCTCCAACATAGCCAGCGACATCGACTGCTCGTGGACTGACGCACACGGACGCCAACGGACATACACGTGCACGAGTTACTCGTACGTACACGCCTGGAACACGCGCGTTTGCGTGCACGCGTTCTTCTCCGTCCTCCTTTTTTCCTTCTCGCCGATTCCTCCCGCCCTTTCTTCGGATCCTGCTTCTCGCGTACCGTTTAATCGTCGTCCGCCTCGAAGCGTGCCCGAAAACAAACGGACCGTTTCCACGCATACACGCGCTTACGCGAATCTCGAATAGCTGGCAGACGGATAGAAAGACGACTTTCCCGAATTCAGCCAAGTCCAAAGTCCTTAATCCCGTGGGGTGATCCTGGCCCCGCCCGTACGCGAAGGAACCACACCCCGGCCAGAGAAGGAACTCAGGATACAGATTTACCGGGCTCTCTCTCCTGGTAAGCTTCTACCTTCGCAGCTGTTCGCTCTATCTCGACGTATCCTCCCTACTTTCCAGCCTCGCCTCCAGGAAAGCGTGCAACGAGTGATCCGCCGTAACGGAGAGAATACGCGTCGATTCCTGAACGTTGTA